CTCTAAAAATGAAGTGTTGAATTTACTCAACAAAGCCATGTCAGCTGGCTCCACTAAGCCTAGTTGAGTAAACTGAGCAAAGAATATACTCAACCTGGCTCAGTGGAACCAGTTTGGTTCAGTAAATTCAACAGTGTATTTCTTAGAAAGTGTGTAAAAGTATTTTTACCTTTACTTTCCCAATTTTTGTGAAAAGTTTTATGACTTTTACTTGAGTAGTTTTCTCATCAGTGAAATTTATTTTTAACAAAGTCATTTTCTGTTCATGTAATTTTACTTTTACATAGTTTTTTTTTCCAAGCATAGACCTCTAAAACCGGTCGGTCTACGTTCCTTCCCTCATCTATGGTCATGAGCTTTGGGTGGAGACCAAAAGAACAAGATCGCGGATACAAGCGGCTAAAATGAGTTTCCTCCGCAGGGTGGCTGGGCTCTCCCTTAGAGATAGGGTGAGAAGCTCTGTCATCCAGGAGGGACTCAGAGTAGAGCCGCTGCTCCTCCACGTTGAGAGGAGCCAGTTGAGGTGGTTCATCTGGTTAGGATGCCTCCTGCACACCTCCCTGGTGAGGTGTTCCAGACATGTCCCACTGGGAGGAGGCCCAGAGGAAGATCCAGGACACGCTGGAGGGACTATGTTTCTCAGCTAGCCTGGGAACGCCTTGGGATGCCACTGGATGAGCTGGTCCAAGTGGCTGGGGAGAGGGAAGTCTGGGTCTCTCTGCTTAGGCTGCTGCCCCCGAGACCCAACCCGGATAAGCAGAAGAGAATGGACGGACTGGGACCTCTAAGACTGAAAATTATGGGGGGAAATCCATTTTTGCAGTTGATGGAAATATGTTCACACAATTTATGGAAAATGCCCTGGTATTTTTCTGCCAAGACATTCTTCGTTTTCATGGACATTTTTTACAGTGTAGAGTTGTGTTTTAAGATGACAGAAATCCACTTTGGGTTTTTCCCTCACCTCTAATTCTCAAAACTGAGGCCGTTCAAAGTTTTCCATTGAACCTCATTTCAAAGAAGCTGAACTAAACCCAACACTGACGTTTTTTTTAATCATTTCTACCTTATTTTCTGTTTTCATCACGTTTAAAACATAAAAAAACGTGACCAGACTGATTTTAATTATCACAACACAGAGACAATTTTTTTTCAACTTTAACTCGCAAATAATTTATTTTTAGTTTTAAATTGAGCAGGAGGTGGTTTTAATTAACAGCTAAAGGTGTAACCGGCTGCTGCAAGACAGGTTAGGTGGGAAAAAATGTAAGAGGTGGAGTTTGGTTGGTAATTTAATATTTTGATGCTGATTTTCATGGCCTGCCTCTGTTCTCTTTGGTGTCAGGTGTATTTGCTCAAATATAGATTATATACAGTATTATCAACACGTGCATTATCATTTCTTCACTTGTGTGTTTTAAATTTACATATCTGGGCTCTGCTCTGTTCGACTGCACTCTCTAAGGCTGAAGGACTATTTGTGCTGGAAACTTTCTTCTTCTTACTACCCGAATAAAAATGCTAAACTATCAAATAATTTTAAAACAAACTGAACAACCATCAGATTTTATTATGTGAGTTTTAATTATTTATGTGGGTTATCAGTGTAGTGTTGCCCTCAAACATCAAAAGACACAATGATTTAGTATAATAATAAAATAATGCTCTGTTTTGAAGGTTTTGTTTCGAATTACTTTGTACAGATAAAACGATGTGGCCTCCAGGGGCATATTTTACAAATATAGAGTTAAATACTCCAGGATAAGAGAAGACCAGACCTTGCAGGACCCTGACTTGATTAGTTTCACATAGAGAAGTCGATTATCTTAACAACCTGCATGACTCACAGCGACACGTGCAGCAGCCCTGAAGAACAATGCTCGGAGTGCTTGACTTTTAAATTAGGTTGAAATCAGGGAAAATATAAAATCTTATTGAGATTTTGAGATTCATATGTGGTCTAGTTTTAGCATCTTCATACTAAATGATCAAATAGAAGCATGTAGAATCGAACAGGGTCCTAAACGTCTGGGTCATGGTCCCCATGAAGGTCATAAAACAACAAGTTGGGGTCAAATAAAACTGTTGTTGTTTAGGCTGTTCATGCTGTCACTGTATCTTTTTTTGTCTTCTTAACAATGTTTACTTTAACCAGAGTTTGTTGTGCTCAAAAGTATTGTTTGTGGGTCAGCAGTGCATCTTGGGAAAGGGTGGGCTGAGAAGGATCCTTCAAACTGGGGCAAAATGAGGATGCATTTGTGGCCCTCGGGGCAGTCACCCCCAAACTGGAGCAGTGGCTAAAACAGATCCCAGGAACAACATCAGACATCTCAGTCCAGAAATGTGCAGTTCTAGGCACAGCTAAGATACTGTGCAGAACCCTCAAGCTCCCAGGCCTCTGGTAGAGGACCCGAGCTCAGAGGATGAAAGAGACCACCCGCGGAGGGTGAGAAGGGAATTTTTTTTATATATATATTAGGGGTGCAACAATACATGTACCCGTATCTAACAGTTTCAAACCGTATCGAACAGTGCTTTAGGTTCAATACACACTTGTATCGAACAATACAGATTTT